AGAACTGTGCATCACATAAAGGGCTCAGTGGTTTGAAACAGTAGCATGAAGTGTTTTTTTTTTTAGCCTGGGGGCATGGGGTGGGGATGAAAAGCTTTGGGAATGATGAAATTAAGTCAAATGCCTGTTTTTCATACAGCTAAATCTAGACTGTGACTAGGTAGGCCTTTATGCTGAGCCTGAAGGAACTGCAGGAGGGAGCAGGTCCCGTTCACAAAGAATCTGCCTTCCTTCAGGGTGAAATTTTATTTTTCAGAAGCGCTCAGGTTTGTTTGCTTACTGTATTTCTTGGGACACTGACTGTCAATTTGTGTGTGCGATACTAGGTCAGAAGAATTATCGCTGTACCCTCTGTGACAAATCGTTCACCCAGAAGGCTCACCTGGAATCACACATGGTCATCCACACAGGGGAGAAGAATCTGAAGTGCGATTACTGTGAAAAGCTGTTCATGCGGAGGCAGGACCTCAAGCAGCATGTACTCACTCACACGCAGTAAGTGATCTCACAGAATGTGTTGGACTGGCCAGTGCAATAAATAATGAAGCTGAACAGCCCAAGAGAGAATGTCCAGTTTGAAAACAGTTTGGCCTAGAGACTATAGGTTCATCCTTGAAAATGACAGAGAAGTCAAGCTGGACAAATTCCTTGTTACTGGCTGAACTTGTCCTATTCTAGTGTCTGGAGTATTTGAATGACAGTAAATTCCAGGCATGCACCTTATCTTGTGAAGTGGCATGTTGGAGTGCTCATCGTTTCGAAGAGAGAGGGGGTTAGCTGATTTACATTTAGTTCTCTGCTGAGAACTGTTTCCACGTCCCAACATGACCACAAAAAAAATCATAAACTCCTCAATGCTATTCTCACCGAGTAGCTTGTTGGTGAAGTTTCCCTTTCTGCACTAGGAGTGAGGTGCAGCCATTCTCAGTTCTTACCTCCCCCCAGGTCTCATTCATGCACTTGGTCTCCTGCTCCTCCTGCAGAGAGATGCCCTCAGTCAGGGCAGATCCCCACCCCCAGGTCCTCCTCCAGCTATCTATGGGTCTCTCCCAGCCCCTGAAGCTCTCTGCCAGGTCAGATCTTTCCTTTTGCTGTGAGAATCTCTCCATCCTGTTTAGTTACTCCCAATCTAAGGTCCTCTGTTAAAGACTGCTTCCCCAAAGCTAGTCCCTCTGCTTATTTCGTTTTGAGCACCTGATTCTTGTACTCACTTGGAATCGATTGCTGCTTCTGTCATCCCTAGGACACAGCGTAGTGCAGGTAGCATGAGCAAGAGAGAGGCAGACAGACTTGCTCTGTTGCTTTTCTTACGGCCAGAGCCAGGAGCACTACTGCTGGGAGGTGCTTTGCACAGTCATCTACAGAATTTGACTGCTGCAGTCTGGTAAGCCTTTGCTTAGCACTTAGAGACCAAGGGTTGTTAACACTCAGCAGCTTTGTTTTCTTTTTTGTTCCTTTTTTCCCCCTCTGTTTACGAAGGGTAGGACAGAGGAGCCTAACCTTTCCACCACGGCAACATCTCTGCCCTTGCCACAACATGGAGCTTAACCAGCATTCGATCTTAAAAAAGAAACAAACAAACCCCTTGTAGAATTCTTTCTTCTTTACTTTATCACCCAGAAAGGAAAACAGTAGGTCGCAAGCTAGCAGCTAATCCTGACTGTTAATTAAGACTGACTTTTGCCAGTGATGGCGTGGGGGGGACAGGCAGAGAAGAGGGGCTTTGTGTACGTACTCTGTGCACAGAGAAAACCGAGCAGTGTTTACACTTTAGTGCTGCAGTAGTGGTGTTATTTCTAGTCTGCTACTTCTTCAAGTATATGGAAAGTAATATTTAGGAGTAAGACTGGCCCTTTCACCCTTGCTGTCACTACCACCCCACCATTTAGCATGGTATCTTGTAGGTAGTACAGCAGGAGCAAACTGTAACTTGGTTCCATGTCTTGCAGAGAACGGCAGATCAAGTGCCCCAAGTGTGACAAGCTGTTTCTGAGGACAAATCACCTGAAGAAGCATCTCAATTCACATGAAGGAAAGAGGGACTATGTCTGTGAAAAATGCTCCAAGGCTTATCTAACCAAATATCACCTCACTCGCCACTTAAAAATATGTAAAGGCCCCACATCCAGCCTGTCAGCCCCAGAGGAGGAAGAGGATTCAGAGGAGGAATTAATAGACTCTATGAGGACTGAAGACTGTAGGATTAACAATGGAGTCTATTCAACAGGTGATGCCCTCTCTGGACACAAATGAAGAAGAGAGAGGGAAATTTTCTTGGATGTTGAAACTGAGGAAGGAAAAAAAAACCCTCCGTTGTTTCCTCAATCAACAGCGTGTGTCAAATGAGGCATTTTCCTTCCGTTTTGGTCACCGCACTACCACTGCTTAATGAACTCTCGCCAGAACACTGAGAACGGATTGTGCATGTACAAGTGAAGAGTTGCTAAGAAGGAAATGTGAGGCAAGATTTTTTTTTCACACACACTGTGCATACTTCCTTTCCAAATCACTCAGATTAATCCATCCAGTGCTGGGATACATGACACACCTTGCATAGCCCTTTGAGTAAAGAGCCACAAACCAGAAATGTAGTTGAGTGACTGCAGGGACCTGTAAGCCAACTGTCCTTAACTGCCAAAACCATGACAATACAAAAAACAAACAAACAAAAAAATGGTGCTGGCAGTTACGTGTTTTGCTTCTTAACTGAAGGATGTGGTTTGGCACAAAGCAAAGACATCTCAATGCTCAGGTTCCCTTAAATAAATAAATGGCTTTGGCTTTTTTTTTTTTTTAAAAAAGGCCAGTGAAATCAGCATTTGCAGGCAAAGGAATTAGCCCACTACAGAAAATCAAACATTGGCTTTTGGAGAACAGTTATTGCCTCTTCTCACTCTAGTTCATCACTAGAACATGTAAGCAGGCGAAGAGGTAAAGACTGTATAGACTTAGTAAGGAAGAGGCTTACAGATGATCGACGGTGTTTACAGTATATATTACTTATTGTGCTGTAAACCTTTTACCACCTAGAGTGACGGGAGGGTTTGCTGCTAATGTTATTTATGGAATGAAGATGTATTTCATTCACTTGTTTTCTTTAAAAAAATTAAAAATGTGGCTCTTTTCTAATGTTCTCTTTTATTCGAATACTTACACTTTCCAAAAAAAAGGTTCCTAGTTCTGATAATGATGCTAAGAGAAGTAACACCACTTTTTCATCCTCTCCCTCTCCCAAGCTTTCCTGGGACAAGATTATGGGTAGGAGCACCTCCATGAACAGGCGTGGCTAAGAACCAGTTTTTAAGCCTTGCAGATTTGCTGTGGCTCCTCTGGCTGTGCTGCAAAGAACAGTAAGCTGAGCTCTGTTGTCTGACAAGGTGGGTGGAGGTTGCCTTGTGAAAGAGGCTCCAGTTCTTGTCCTGCGTGGCCCAAGTTCAGCTGTATATCTCCCTGTACACTGTGTTTCCTGGAGAGCTCCTTGGGTTCTTCAAACCTGAAAATGCACAGTGCTTATCCTCTGAGATCAGTAGGTGACTAAAAAGCTCCGGAAAGACAGGTTGAGGGAGTTTGTTTAGTGAAGGGAGAGATGTGTTGCTTGCAGTGACACAATTCCTTCCTAAAACAAAAAGCAGCTTCTAGAGCTACAGTGTCAAGTGACACCAGAGGTAGGGATAACAGAAATTACTACCCTCAAAGAGCTTAACGCGAAGCATTTATTTCAAACGAAAGCTTTGAAAAACTTGCAGCTTTTCAGCAGCGCACTCGAACAGAGGTGGTTCTGGTGCTTTCACCTTCTTAAGCTTCAGAAAAGCAGTTGTCCATTTGTTGTCTACACATTGTTCACTCTTGCTTGGCAGAGAAAGGATTGAGGCAGGAATTCCAACACATCCACACATTACGCATCCAAAAATCTTCCTGCAGAGCTGCACTAAACACCTGTCACCAAACTAGAAACAGATAAATTGGCTTGAGAAGCAGCCATTTAACCCCAAGGGATGGGAAGCCCTGCCTTTTCCCCACTGATGCAATCTACCTCAGCAGAACGAGCTACCGTGAGCTAGGGTGGAAAGCACTGGTAAGATCTTGTCAACTACATGCACAGACATTACAGCTGCTTTGAGAGCAGTTGCTTTAACACCCAGGGTGTTTCTACAGCAGCAACACTTCAATAGGCAGTTTCCAGCATGTGGTGAGGGAAGCATTTCACAGGCAGGTAAGAGTATATAATTTAATTTCTGGCCTGGGGTAGAAGGCACTTGGGTGTTCACTTTAAATGTAAGGAAACTGTTTGAGTCACGTTCCTTGACTGGGTCCCTGACACTATAAATGAAGTGTTGAAGTCGGTGGCTAAGCTGATACTCAAAGTATTCCTCTGTGCCTTCAGCTTTCAGGCAGAAATGCCTGGGAGGAGTTGAGAACATGAGTACATAACATGGGCAGCTTTCACCAGTGACAGCGACCAGCTGAGATCTCTACCCTCCCTGTATGTCCTGACAGCTTCTAGCCTCCTCCGAGTAGTAGCTCCTTATTTCAGTTCAAATTCTTTATGTTACTTTTGGAGCTTGAAGGAAAACCCAATACACAGGCACCATCAATAAGCTTCAGGTGCTGTGGAACCAGGGAGAGGAAACCCTTGATGGGATACAGCTGGGAACATTTCCAGTTTGATACTGGTGATCTGAGGCATTAAAAATATATTTCAAGATTCTACTCAGGGACTCCAGCTTAACTGCCCAAGAAATACTCTTATGACTTAAAAAAGTTACATAGAAAAACTTTTAAAATCTGTATTAGAAACCTGTAAGTCTAGCTTTAAATTAAGGATAAATTATCTATTTACACTTGTAATTTCATTCAGCTTTTGTTTATTTATTACATAACTGTTGTCTGAAGTATTTTTCCTTATGCTTTTAGAATATATTTACCTTCTTTGCAGTATTAACAAACTTCTGATACCACCAAGATGCTTTACACATAGCCCCTGTTTCAGGGATCATAATCTCAGGCAAAATAAAGTGATTTAATCTTTCAAAGCCAGTAACAGAGGCAGGAATTTAGAACTGCTGACTTAAGAGCTTAACCACATCACCGTGTTTGTCTGAGACGAAGCAGCCTGCAGGCTGCAAGACACCTGAGTCATTTCTATGAACTCTCACCAAACAGGGGATCTGTACAATGCACATTAGTCACAGTCCCATTAATTACTTTCATTTTGTGATGTTTGGTCCATCATGATTCCATTGCTGTCTCTGAATCGTTGTTGCTACTGCTGGCCATGGAGCTGCAAGCCACAGGGTTGGCACTAGTCAGAACAAGTCTCTCTCTGTTTCCAAAAACTTCATTCACTGCAACACAGACAGGGGATTGCTCATGTTACTGTTCCAGACACAAGCGTAATACAGCATGGTGAACACCACGGAACGGAAATCCTAACCTGGTGCAGTTTTAACACTTTTCCCCTTACCCTGAGTAGGGAGATGAAGCTTCATGTCAGAACAATCTGCTGCATATGATACCTAAATTACAAGTCCTGTTATTTCTCTCCTAGAGCATCTCTAGAGGTTTCCCTGTGTGTAAGTCCTGCGCCTAAGTACCGTGAAACGGTTGAGTTTTGAGAGCAAAACATTAAGTTTAAATAATTTATCTGTGGTTTTAGTCTCTCTGGTTTCCACCAAGCTCTTAAAAGCCTTCTCCAAAAATCCATGCCATTTAGTTACATGGAGCTACAACAGATCAAAACCAGTCCTCACTTTTATTCCTACAGGTACTCAAGAATGTGATACTTGATTACACCAGGAACATTAAGAAAAAAGTAAAACACAGTGTAATAAGAAATCAGGTATTATACTTCAACTACAAAAAAAAAATAAACCATATGGCAAATACAATTCCTCAAGTTAGAAAAACCCACATTTTTTAAGCGGAAAATATGAACACATATGCAGTCTTGGGGTATTTAAAATATTAACCTACAGTTTCTCTCAGAGCCACAATACATTACTGAACATACAAATACACCCTGGAGGCAAGGGGAGCACCACAAGATCCAAAGAAATGAGAACGTTACCTGCAGAAATCTTGCTTATATCCCAAACACGCAGCCCTTCTCGCTCTCCTCCGAAGGCAAAAACAAATGGGAAGTCAGGGCAGCAAGCTGCACAGAAGAGAACACCCTGGGAGGGAGGCAGAAAGAGGAGGATTTTAATTTTTTTCAAAATACCATCCTAAAATGAATTTGTCATCTGAAAATACTTTCACCAAGCAAGTTTTAACAAATGTAAGCTCTTCAAAATAAGTTTCAGGAAACTTCTAGAGACACAAAATTAAAGTCAAGAGATGCTAATTACGATCAGTAAATCACATCTTCGTCTTGAAGCTGGCAGACGCACGTTGGGAGTACCTGTAGTTCCACTCAGAACATTGTATCTGGTATTCAGGTCTGAGGCTTTGAAGCAGTCTGCCAATTACGTGCTGAATTGAATACTGCACTGTAATGAGCATGATTTACCCAGAATACACAGATGTGTTTTTTTTTCCTAAAAGATGTTACATTATGTAAAACAAGATTCAAGTTAGACAAAAAAGACTCAGCAGACTCATATATGAACATTCTTAGAATCAAGAAATTAATATTACTTTACCATTTTCATATTCCTGGAATGGATTAAACTTGGTCTGTCACCCAGGATATCCCAAATTTTCACATATTTGTCAGCAGATGATGTCACAAGGCACCCTTTGATCTGACTGCTTAGTTGTAGCCCTGGAAGATTGAGTGCAGCAGTGTGAGAGCACCAGGTAACCACTATTTCACAGAGACGAGGATACATTTTGAAGTGAAGTCATGAGAACAAAGCTAATATTCTCCTCACACTAAACTCTATTCCAGCACAAAGAAGCGAAAAGTCAATGGAAGTTTCATGCTGCCACTGCTCCCTGTAGCGAGAGCAAACTGACTTCAGGTAGCCCTATTTTGTCTCTCAATCCAACAACAGTAACAGTGCAAAGACGTTACTGTTCTGCTTCTTACTTACTTCATGTAATCTGGCTTCCCCAGCCAGCTTGCTTCATTCCTTTGCCAAAGACCATCCAAGACGATGGGGCATATTCATATCTCATTTTAGACACCTCATCAGGTGCTTCCAGTTGCTATTTAGAAGCTCCTACACTGATCAAATAATTCAAGTGGCCTGAAGGAGGCAGTGCAAAAACCTTCCTGTGCGCTACACCTAAATCACCTCCAGAGTGAACTGACAGTATAAAATAACTACAGCTACAGGAGGTAAACAATATAGTTCATAATCCTGGAGGACCTGACTGCACAGTTTTTATTCTCCCTCACCCAAAAAACACAAGGAGTGTGTCCCAAGTGAAGAGATCTGTTTTGACATGTTTATTCATGATACTCACTGAGAAAAGTTTACAGTTGTTAAAATACTTCGCTTACGATGACTTCTTAGCAGAGATGTGTTTCATGCGCCAGCTGCCCATGATTAGTATGCACAACTCTTACTTGTTAAGCAAGGAATCACTACCACCGCAGTTGTGTCGGTTAAAGAACTTCCAGACGTGCCTCACCACTGGGGACAAACACACACACACAATTTACCTGACACCTCTTCATCGTGAGCTTTCAGAGTAAACAGCGGCTTATCAGAACGAGCATCCAGACAGTACACAAAGCCATCCTCTGTGCTTGCCTAAGGAAGAAACCACAACATTTTAAAAACAAACAGCTGTAGTCACTCAGTTGGAAAAAAGCTCCTACGAAATACTTGCCCTCGTATCAAACCCCTGTGATCTGAGGCAGATTTACGCTACTTCTCGGTAGGGCATATCACAGTGTACACAGTCAAAATCAGGCTCTATCCAGGTGGTGCCTGAGCTATTCTACGTACCTAAACTATGCTGCAGGGACTTACATGGAAGTCTTAATCCTATACAATTTTCTGAAATTGTATTTTGAAGATGGTTGCACAACTAAGCCTGGCTTTCTTGTTCAGCAATGAAACACAGAGCCTTAACTGTCTCTTAACTGTCAGTTACTCCAAACCTCCTGGAGCCATCCTGTGGCTGCATAACAGCCCTGTGCAAAGCTAAGTGTGATTATACTGAGAGAGATCTACATCATAAACCCCACAGAACTGAACAACATCTTTTGTTGGCTGTATACAGAAAGCAACAGAGAACTAGACAGCCACTGCGATAATAAAAAAGATCTGGTTTTAAATTCTGTTTAAAAATTTTATTATAAAAAATCTGAACAAACCCAAGGTATTTTTGCTCCGTACCAGCTAGGAGGACAGTGCCCTCTAGCCCTGATTTGAAACACTGAATTAATATTCAGGATCTTCGTTCTAATTTGCTACTTCTCAACTGCAATTGCCTCATTACATGAAACACCACAGCAACTATGCAAAGGAAAATATACCCCAGCCACTGAACGCTATAACAACAAGGCAAAGAAGCCACCTCTGGAGTGAAAATGCATCAGCATCGATTGCTTTTCTACTGTCGTAATGGAGATACCAAATAAGTAGCTGATCTTGATATATTTGTTGAAAAAACGACCTAAAACCATCCTCCCACACACTGCATTTTTAAAATAAACAATGCCAACAGTCCAACTGTCCATCAGGTCCATTATATGATTCAGCAGCATTATGAACAGAAAAATACGGGTTAAATGAAACAGCAACAGTCAACAGACCAAGAATAGAAGAGCATGTACTCACCAAGAAATTACAAGGTGAAAAATGATTCCAGGTTACTCTTTCAACCTGACCACTAAACCGCCACGTTCGATGGTTATCTTGTGGGTTTCTGCAATCATACAGCACAGCTGACCTATGGGAAAAAGGGACAGGAGATGATGAAAAAATATAAAATCATGGCAGAATACTTTATGAAGTCTGTTTTACCACTGGCACCTCCAGAAGGCCCATGTAAACAACAATTCAAAAATTAAAATGGAAAACAACTTCACTATTTAGTCTCCCAACTCACTAACAGATGAAAATTTCTCAGATAAGCACAAGCTTTTTCCATATGCTTCGAAGTTTCATCTTGGTTACAAACAGACGTTCTATTCAAGCAAACAGAGCTTGAATTTGCTGAATACATAAGACACTCACCATACAGGACACCATAATTATGCAAATATATCACTTAATTATGAACAGAATTCAGTAAAGTAATGACTGTTCAAAGTAATGCACTAATTAGGAAATCAATTTGTGATACATACCCAAACATTTTCAAACATGCTTTAATAAAAAAATTCATCTTTACAAGTGGTTAGGGAAACACTACTCCAAAAAGGAGAAAGAGCAGATGAGAGTTAGTGGGTCTTTTGGGATTCTCTACACGCTTGTGCTCAGCCCAGAGGCGGCAGAATTTGTCCCAACTCACAAGAGCTCCTGGATGCAAATGCAAAAAAGGAGCGACGATGTCACTGTCGCAACATCTCACCACAATTTACATCCACTCCCACTCTATCCTATAATAAAGCCAAAGAAACGCGATCTAGTCCTGGGAAAAAGGTAAGGAAAACTACATTTAGGCCACATACAAACCTGGCCACCTTACTGGAAAAAAAAAAAAGCATTACTCAAATTTGGCACAGTTATAAGCAAATGAAAAGGAAAACATGAGGCAACTTAACAGGCTTAATTCCATACTAATACCCTCCCTATGTGCAATGTTTGAAAATATTACCGGGACATACTTATCATAAGATCCAGAAATAAGGGTCTGGGTTTCAAATGGATGAAATTGCACTGTCTGGACCTAGATAGCAGAAGATTTTATTTTAAAAAATAAGCATTGAGATGTAACACACATATACAGAAACTTTCTTTGAACAAACAGAGCACAAACCCTCCTCCCTAAAATCACCACATTTCCTTCCCTCCTATTAAGCTTGCTGATACTTAGATTTCTCATAAAACAATGCAAGAGATGCACATTATTTTTATTTCAAACACCCGCACTCAGGAGAAACAAGATATTTTCCAATATAATTTAACTGAACAGAACCACATTGGAAAATAAAACCACATTAAAAAAAAATAAGCTGGAGGAGGTAAAAGAATAGCTGCTTCCAGTTTGGAGAAAATGCAGACGTTAGCAAAAAATGAAAATCAGGAGTTTGCCAAGGGCAGCGACTTTGTTAACAGCAAAATAAGGTTATAGCTATTAATAACTGACTTTCACATTTTGATTACTATGAGATTAATTAATTTCTGAAGTACCCATCACCATGGTATTTTAGTATCATTTATTTTAAACCTCTCTTACCTGGAACAAACTGTAACTGACACTTATCGTTTCCTTAAGAGAGTGTTACAGTTTGACCTATGCTCAGAGATGTGTTTTTTTAGCTTATACCAGCACTATTAGATTCTCAGCCACCAGGGCTTTCACACAAAAAGGCATTTTAAAAACTGCTGTAAATCTTGCAAACTTCTAAAGGATAAGCTAAATAACATTTTTAAAAGCAAATACAGTGTTGTTCGCCAAAGTAACCAAGTCAGAAATGTAAAGAATTCTTCACAGTTGTTAGAAAATTACAGAATTGTTGTTCTCAGGGTTCACTATCAAGCAGCTAATGAAAAACTGCAGTTATTTTTTTCTCTGTATTTTACAGCGGAAGAAACAGAACAATTATTACATACCTTGTCTGTATGTACCATCAGGCTGGCTGCGGGCTTACCCACAGACATATCCCACAGAATTACAGTATTATCAGCAGACGCACTTGCTAAAACATTCCTGATAAGGGGTCAAAAAAGAAAAAGTTTTAAAAATCTTTCTAAAGATACAAACAAATAATGGTCAAAAATCCCAATACGTACAGAGCCTGATTCTGAGATCGAGTACACTCTGGCCTACAGACTATGTGTATAAAGCCTAAGGGATAGCTCCCTGAAGGTAATTTTAAGTTACAAGTAAAGACTACAAACAGGCTATATTACATTACATTAGTACAACATTCATAGTAGTAAGTGACAGGGTGGCTTGTATTCCCCCACCCACCCCCAAATATCATTTACTGGAAGATTGCTTGAACAAAACGAAGCAAGAAAGGCTTTTAAGCACTTCCTTTCCTTTGACATCAAGATAGTATTTTTAAACATTACTTATGCAACTTGGGTTTATTTGCATAAGCATACAGCCAAGAGCCAGACAAACCTGTTTTTAAAACATTTTGCTCCCCAATATCCAAGTGTTTATATAACTGCTGAAAACCCAACACTGTACATCCTTCATAGAATGCTGAAAGGAACCATTAACACTGTAGTTTACAGACCCTGCATTTTAACTTAAATTTGACCAACTGTGTTAAAGCAATAAACTCACAGTTTAGAAGTTTAATCAGAAATAATTCAAAACATTCCCAAAGGCTGGTCAAATACATGGTACAATTGCTACCACTGCTCTTAAAAACAGATCCATCACCACAACATGCTGTTTCTGATTGAAACTGCTCACCTCACAACTTTTTTTTTTTTAATCCTAACCAAGTGTTTCTGACTTGAAAGCGCTAACATTCTCCTGGAAACACCGTTCTCCCAAACAATATTACAAGGGAAAGTTAAGAAAATGCACAGTGAAGGCTATGAGACCATTTTACAGTAACATGATTATGACCTACGGGTAGAATGTTATTTACAGAGAGCTGTCACAGTATGTCTTGCTTACAAAAAAAACAACAACAAAACAAGCAGGTCCAAGGAGCTCCTTGTTTTGCCCCTAAGCTTCCCACTTCAAGTCTGCTTTCATTTCCTGAAAGATCGACCAGTATCAATGACTTCATAACTCAGCACATTACAGAATTATGCATTCCAGACACTAAACTATTGTAGTCGTAATTCTGGGGACTTGTCTCTATGTTATCACCAGACAATCATCTCTAGGTACATGAAAACTATTCTTTTGTTCCTCTGATGGAAAGATCACTACTACACTCTGTGCATATGTGTTATTTAAGAGCAATAGATGAAGCACCGCTAATTAAGACTGCAATTTATGTACATTTACTGCATATCTATGCGGATGTTTCCTTCACATCTGCTCATCAGGACTATGCAGAGCTGACTACGTGTATCTTCAGAGACATTTATGACAGCGGGTTGTCATGGTTTGATGTGGAGGGGGGGTG